CAAGATCATTTCTTCCATTCAATCCTAGTTATGAAATAGTTTGGTCAAATCCAGCTTATTTTTCACATTATAGAATGCATAAAATTTTTGATTTGCTGCATAAGTCTTCCCTTATACTAAGCATCCATGTTGTGGCAGTGGAAGGTAAAACTCCCTTTTATCAGGAGGAAAACTCCAGCAGATCCTACTAATAATAATAAGGTGACATCACTGATTTACAGCCTGAGCTCTGTTGGAAACTTTTTGGTCTAAAGCGAAGATCAGAGTACAAGGAAAGCCTTGATTTCTGTTTTATTCAGTTCAATCAGTGGGAGATAGCAGGAGCTTACTCAACTGGCACATGTCAAATATTCTACATATTTAAGGGAACATCCTTACTAAGACGTATAGCTCGCATTTCAATGCAAGAGGGAATAAATAGATGCATCACACTCAGAACAGCCTTGACTCATTCTAGGTTTCCTCCCTGCTGTTAGTTCCTACTTGTGTGCTTTCATCCTTTACACTTCCATTCTTAGCTTCCACCCTCCCATCTATTCAGCTTAATAAGTTAGCATGAATGGCCACTTCCAAATATAATGCCTGGGACCTGCTAGAGGGTTTTAAATGTAGCCCTAATGGCAAAACCATTATACTATTCGGTACATACTCAGAGTGTACTGAATGTTTTGCTTCAGAAGAACTGATATGGTAGCAGGCAGGAGGTGGCAATGGGGGGTGGTGGAGAGAGTAAAGAGCTGCCTTTCCATTAGCTGATTGAATTGGAACCTATTCTTGTTGGCTGGCACTTGTTTGCTTCACATTAAATAAGCCCAAGATGTAAACAACTCTGTTATAGCCTTCAAGGAAATTTCACAGCAAAGCCATGTCACACCGGCAGAACCTTCACCTCCTCAGTAAGACACAGGTTGTGTGCTGGTAGAAGTGGCTGCCTTAGTACATTTCTCGGTTCTGCTGATGCTTTGTATTAGCCGCTCTATGTTCTGCGTGAGCCAGAGTGAAGGCCTAATGGAGCATGGCATGCTGAAGTGGCTGGCCGGCTGTCTCAGACAACACATTGCACATTAGGATCCTACGTCTACCCAAGTGCAATGTCAGATTTAATAAATGATATATATACACTTGTAATGGCTCTATTGCAAAAGGGTGGTGAAAGAAGAGGGAGGAGGATGACAGGCTTCACAACCCATAAGTGTTCCCTTTTCTTCTGAACCAGGTCAATGCACAAGATGTCTCAGTTAGAGAATGGAGAAAGGAAGGAGGATTTTGCGTCACAGTCAAGGACATGGTATGCATATTAAATAGTGTATTGCTATATCCTTTTAAAAAAGGGATATTTTAGCACACCAGCATCAAGTTGGGCAGTATGTCAAAATAGACTTTTTTAACTTTATTTTCATAATATTACAACTTTATTCTAAAAAAAACTTTTTTTTTTGCCTGGCCCTTATACTCCCTCGTAATATACATATATTAATATACAAGTGAACTTTCGTTGAGCAACACTTTGAGGCAATCACTGAAATCAGTGGTTTTCTGTTATGTTCAGGAAATATTCAGTAAGGCTTTTGCACCTGTTGGTTCACTGTTGATAAGCTAGGTACTTTAATGTGTCTCAGGCAGTTTCTTTGTAGAGTGATTTTTTTTAAAACAGAAAATGCAAAATCAATATTTTATTTTAATAAATTATTATTTAGTACATGTGTTTTTAAAAGCATTTTTTTTTCAGTTGTGTGAATTTTTGAATTACTAGTCTGAATGTATCATTTTTCTCTAATGGGAGGTACGAAAACTTTTAAGCACAACTTGTCCTCTCCCCTGCAATACTCTCCTACTCATTTTGGGACTTTCCATGGCTAAAAGGCTAAAAGGAATACATAGCTCCCCAAGTGAGTTCCCTGCAGGGGATATGCATGGAAAATCTCTAAAATGATGGTTTGTCCATATCACCATGGTTGACTGGTTTTGATCTAAAGAAGATGTTTTAATCCAAGCTCCTCTCAGATAACGGAGCTAAGTTATTCCTGATGCCCCAACATGACAGATGGGTAATGTGCTTTGCACATGTCTTACTAAAAGCTCCCTATCAAGTTGCAGTCCTTCCAAAATGCTACTGTTAAGCTCACAACTAGATGTTCAAATTGTTATGTGACTGCACAGATAATGTAATTTCTTCAACTCCCGGTTATTGAGTGCATTGCAAGACCTTTGACTTCAGAAGCTCTACATGGACAGACACCAGTCTCTGACCCACTACATCCCTACATGAGCACCCTTGGGTCCTATGATGAAGACTTGCTGAATATCCCCCAATGAAATTCAAAACTAGATAAGACAGAGCATTTTCATATGTAGCTCTAAGACACTGGAACTTCCTTCCACTGACTCTGAGATTAACAGGCATCTACTTTTGTTTAATTTTGTCTTGTGACGCTATTTATTCTTGTACCTTTTCTAGATTGAAGTACTACTTTTCCAGGGTGAAGTACTTTTTCAGGTTGAGGTAATCCTCTAAATAAGTGCTTTTATCTTGAAAGATGCTTTACAAATTAAAATTTTAAATGTTACATTCAGAGCTCCTACTTAGTCGCTAAAAGTACGTACAGCCAAGGGTCTTTTTTTAATTAGAGGATTTTTTTGGGGTGTAGTTTCACACATATATATAATTTAGATTAAACTGAAAGGATCAGAATACAGACTACATACACCCAGTTTCCTGATACCTTTCCCATACTCATATTATGTTAAAGAAAAAAGTTAAGTGTGTACCCTTAATTTGCTCTCGCCTTTGCCTGTTAAATGGTTCAGCTGTCACAGTTCTTATCCGCTTTGCCCATGTTACCTTGAGTTTGACAAGTTCCCACCTGCCACAGGTTTTTTGTGGTTGCAGCTTTGCTGTTATCTGCATTTCAAAGACCTGCCAGCATTTTAGAGATAACTAACCTTGCATAATCCCTGTCAATAGCTCTACCTACACCATCTCACAGCCTGTGACTGAGTGCAGCACTCAAAAGCTGGTCCTTGATCTTATCATTGTCATCATAGGCAGTATACATTCTGAATTATTTTCAAGCCTTTTGCTCATCTATCATTAAAAAATGTTGGCTCTTGTCACTATTTAGAAAGAGTTACATTTAAGGATGAGTGTTACCAAGCCTGAGACAAAACATTTACTCAAGTATACAAACAGCTACACTTCATACTATATATTTGAGGTATCTAATTGATTTTGAGCACAGCTTTACCAGGATTTTCTGACTCCAAGATAAAATTAAGCTTTTCTCCAGTTTTGTTATTTTGTACTCTGTGACAATTTACCTTTTAAAGGAGCTAGGGTTAACTTCATTAGAGTGACAGAAAGAAACCCCTCTAGTTTCATAGCTAAATAGAATTTCTGTTCACATTATATTGTTTCAAAAAAAAAAAAAAAATCATAATGCCAAAGAAAGTTGGGTGGGAAACATAAATATAGATTTCCACCTTTCATAATAGTCAACATAGAGAATTTGTTGATGTTGTATTCATATTTTGCGCATTTTAATCTCTTAACTGGTAATAGGAGTTAAAGACTGAAAGTTTTATGAAATCAAATTTGGCATTATACTCATCAGTCAATCATTTGTAATACTAGTTTTAAGTGTCAGCTATAAGTAATTTAAGATAGATATCTATGAGTTGGGCTGGCTATACTCCCACAGCAGTGTGTCGTAGTGATCTGCTTGTCGCAGATATTTTAGATTTATGCCCAATATTGAAACGTGGTCTTCAGTACGTTATTCCACGCCAAAACGCAAGAGGGACAATCATGAACTAGCTGTGGTTCTACATACTTCAGAGGTGGTGAACCCTAACCCAAGCTGGTAGGTACCAAACAGGAGATATGCATAGTGTAGAGCTGATGTAGATTTGACCAATCAGAGGCCTCCTTTCTGCGGTCACCTATAATTTTCGAGAGGTGCACCAGAGTTTATGCAGAAGGAGCAGGGCATATTTGTGTTCACTGCAACATAAATGCAGACGACCTGGTTTCTGAATATAAACCAGCCTTTAACAGGTTGCCCAGTCTAATTGACCAATTTTATTTAGGTGCTATCAAAGAAAGGCAGTTAGTCCATTATTCAATTCACTTCAGTATTATTCAAAACATATGATATTTCAAAGCATTTTATGGAGACAATTCAATTAAATTATACAGACAAATTAGTTAACAGCTATCTATCTAAGGAAACCTGGCTGATTACAACAAGTTACTGGCTTTGCAGGCTAACCCCGTAGATACAGTAGACATGTGCTTGCCACATGTTGTTGACTCTCCACCAATCCTTCATACTATACTATAACTGTTTTAAATCTTTTCAAAAAGATAAAAAATCTAAATCATATTTCCTTTTTTTATGCACTACTTAATGTTGAACTATATGCCGAAAGGTCCTATAGGAAATTAGAGCACACTAAAGTCTGTAGATGTAACCTAACAAATTTAAATGGATAGAAATATGAATGTGGATATTTTTTCTTATGTACCATATGGGGTGAGAATACCTATTTGTTTGGAGGTTCCCTCTTTTTAGTAGACCTCAAGTATTAAAAGACACACGGTTGGAATATTTAAATATTCATGATATATCTTTGGAATATTTAATTCAGTGATGCTTCTCTGGATTGCCTCTCAGTAATGTGCTTGGACATAATGTAGTTAGGCAGTGGCCCCTATGGGCTAGTATCTGTAAAACAAAGCCAAATTGCTGCAAAATCTTACTGTACATTTTACCTTTTTTTTTGTAGTGACATGAAAGCCTTACACCCCTACCCTCCCTCCCCATGTAGGACAGAATACAAATGGGTTCCCGTAAAAATGTGCAGAAAATTAAGGTCATGTTTTGAAGACACAGAGATGCACACAAGTGCATGAAACCATAGCATTTGCAAATTCAGTGCCTCATAACGAAAGACGCATGCACCGAGGCGCACCAGTACATAAAAGCAATTAGCAAGTCACGCGCAACTGTTAAAATATAGCATACCTGTTTAATTAACCAGCAGAAATCTGACCTCTTATTACTATTTAACTTCGTTTTAGCCCTTATCTTTTCAAAGAGGAGCTTCCGAAAGGTAATTGTTGTCTGGCTGTGGGATGTGAGTGTTGTGACTGTGGGTGACACAAGAGGACGAAGCAGTGCTGGGGGAGGCGCTCTGTTCTGCCCAGAGCAGGACGCAAGAGACGGTCGCTCTCCAAGGTGCTGAAAGTCGGGAGCGCTCCCCTCCTCAGTCTCGCATTCCTTGCGAATAATGCCAACCGCAACTGCAAATCCTCTATGGACTGCCTTCATTCTGAAGTGCTTTAATTTTTTTATATAACCTTCCATGATTGTTATATTGGATTCTGGTTTCACAGTACAGCCGTTGGATGTATATATGCTCCCGTCTGTGAAACAAGACCGAGAGCAGCTCTCTAACCTACATCATTTGGATATACTGGCTTGACTCTGGATTCTCAAGGAACGTTTTACAGAGGGAATTAAGCAGTTTTTTTTCTTGCATCTTTGAAAAGCTCTAGCTGCGTGTGCCGCATGCTGTAGGACGTGAACTGTGATATTGTCTGAGAAAGGTGAGTCGGATCAGGATAATCCTGAAACAGACCTACTTTTTTCGTGGATGTCGCCGTTTTTGCACTGGAAAGAGCGACGCAAAGAGGCTGATAACTGATTGCTTCTCATGATCCAGGAGGAAGGTGGGCAATAATAGTGTTTAGAGAAGCCTTTGAATTTAATGTGGGGATAATATTGAAGTTTTTAATAGCCATGGCGGATATCTGAAATCTTTCCCAGCCATCCATGCTTTTGACTCTCCTGGTTCGACACTAATAGGATATCCAGCGTTTTTTCTCTCTCTTTTACAAGGGTGAGTTTGTCTTATCGCCTAAAATGCACCACTTTTTACCCTAAAATTAATCTGCAAATGAAAAACACATAGCTGCATTTGTGCAGGTTTAGTTTTCAACCTTTTCTCACCTGTATTACTTATGAAAAGAGGGTTGGTGGATTTTGGAATATTTGACGGCAGATTTAATAATACTGATATGTGAGACTTAAATCCAGCTGTACTGGACAATCAGCTGAGGCTACCTGTTGTGTTTCGTTCCTTAGAAAGTTTTTAATTTAACCTTAAATTGGTTAACCTTTACAAAATTTAGAAAATAAACCTCACCACCCACTTCAATAATGAGTCTCATAACCCTTTCCTCTGTTGTTCTATGGCTGCTCTTGGACCCACAGCTGCTGCTGTTGTAGCCTATATTTATATATAAACCTGTTGAGCAGTGTATGCTGTGAGAAATTCAGAACAGATCTACTTTTCCTCGTGAAAGATAATCCCTGTGATAAGAATTATTGCTGTAAAAAAGTACATTTCAAGGTGAGATTGGGTTGTGATAATGCGCAAAACAGCAGCAGTGAAATCATCACCCGTGCGATGATTTTTATCCATGTATAGCTATTTATTTATTTAATTTCTCTGTTTTCTTTTCCACTGCAGAACATCTCTCTGTAAGATGACGGTGATAACGATGGTAGCGATAATAAAGGCCGATTTGGATCCGGAGAGATTACCCGGAGCTTAGGGATGACATCCATGCAGTCGTGTTGAATGTGGATGTTAACGCCACGGGGAAGGATGGGCCCTCTCCTCTCGGCCGCATCCGTCCTCCTCCTCCTCTTTTTCCTCCTGGCCATGAGCGTCGCGTCTCCAGCCACGGTGGGCAACCCCGAGGATTACGCCGCCGATGAGGCAGAGCGGACCGCCGCGGATAACATTGTCTTCGATGATTATCGGGGGAAGGGGTGCGTGGATGACAGTGGTTTCGTGTACAAGCTCGGGGAGCGCTTCTATCCGGGACACTCAAACTGCCCGTGCGTGTGCACGGAGGACGGGCCCGTTTGCGACCAGCCTGAATGCCCGAAACTGCACCCCAAGTGCACGAAAGTGGAGCACAATGGATGCTGCCCAGAGTGCAAGGAGGTTAAAAACTTTTGCGAGTACCGGGGGAAAACGTACAAAATACTGGAAGAATTCAAGGTAAGACTTTAATTTTAAGGAATTTGAACCGTGACATGGGTGTAGCAATTTTGATTCAATGTGTCACATGCAAGATTTCAAATACGTGGATGTGGCGTTACATTCTGACTACTTAACCCTTTATTGGACAAATTACCATTTTTGATCACCTGCATACCCCTTACAAATGGAGTCCCCCCCTCAGTGATGTCTAGAGATCTATATCCAGCCATTCAGCAAAGATACTGCAGCTTATTTTGGCATTTGACCAATCAGATAAGCTTTTGAATGATATATTACCTACTGTAAATTAAGTTAAGAAAGCTAAAAATCTTAGTTAAAAGGTAAAGTTAAAAAGTTTATATGCCTAGTTAAGAGTTATATTTAGGTTAAGAATTAATGCCTCTAAAGCTATGTTGGACCAAAAACAATTAGTTTTTTTCACTCTCAGGGTGTTTTTCATCAATTTCTTAGAGAAGCACTTTTGTTATTTTTCTTCGTATATTTGGGGAAGTTGGCGTTTGTTGTTATTACAGTGACATTCATTTTTACCATAAAAATATCCAAATGTTTTAATTTATATAGGTAATAAGGTCCTGGATTCCAATAACACTATTGGCTGGAAATTTGGATTTTCAAAGTATTTCACTATAAAAGGGTTCCCTATAAAATGTTAAAAATAAGCTTCTCTGGTTGGTTTGACATCATGTATGACATGAAGATATAAAGGCAGAAGTTTTGAATATTTTGCGTTTTAAAGTACATCCTAATCTAACCATGGATTGGTGTTGGTTGTTCAGGACATCCTGCTTAATTGCATTAAGATATTCGGAAATGGAAGGCCAACGCTTTATGAGAATATCCTGCTTAAGACAGTCAAAGCCATCGTATAATACTGCTTCCATTCTGAAATGAGAATTAATCTCCAACTTAAGTGAATTGCTTTGATTGGTAAAAAAAAAATATTAAAATAAAGTGTATCCAACTTAATCAATTAAAACAGTGTAAAGAAATTAATTTGGATAAACTTAATTCAGTTAGTTACCAGATGAAGCAATTCACTTCACTTTGAATTGAATTTTCTTTGTCAAGTGTACAAACAAGCTTGAAAAGCTAATATTGCTTACTCTATTAGTCACAGTCTCATATTTTATTTTTAAATGGAAAGTTTTTATTACCTCAGTCTTAAACGATATTGATTGTGTTATTTTTATTATTATTATTTTGTTATTCTTGCTTAAACAAAAATACATTCTCAGCTGTTTCTAAGTTAAAAATATCCATTCATGATATAAACATATCACCCTTGCTATGCTTTCATGGGCACCAAACATTATCAGTTAGATTAGAATAAAGATGTATGATAATGTTGTTATATTTTAACCATAAACGATAAATTTATTGCAAACTAGTATGCAAATGTAAATCATTTCCGTTGCTAATGTCCAATACCATCCACATTTAAATTCCTTTTAATTGTGTTTGTGTCTTTAAAAGTAATAATAATACATTTTATTTATAAAACACCTTACATTTCAAGGAGATCTCAAAGTGCTACAGTAACAAGGGGTTAAAAAAGTAATAACAATAAATATTGATTCGGACTTTAAACACCCAAATGCATCATTCTAGTATTCAGGGTGAACAAAGTCAAATTGCTCTCTGAATATGTGCAGCAGGGTTTTAGGTCACTGATTTATACAGTAGCAGTGGAAATGGTGACTCATTCAGAGGGCTTTACATAAAAAACAACTATCTGTAGTGGGGGTCATGGTTATTCAGGTTTAATCTGTGTCACATAAAAGAAAGAACATTTGAAACAACCGAACTAGCATGTTTGTGATAATCTGATAAGTTATAAGTAATGCAAACAACTATAAAACGAATTTTATAAAATGGTCACTCTGTTTTTATAGTTTTTAAGTGCAGAAATAAAATAAAATATTCCTAATATACACTTTTTTTAGTCTTTCTTTGTTGCTTTCTTGTTTTACAAATTATCCATAGCAGCCATCTATTTTATTATGTAGGCCCATAGTTTTATCTAATAAATGCTGCGCTTCATACGTTTAGCCTTTGAAATTAGGGGCATTTGTTACTGTTTGGATTAGTAATGCCTTTGCCTTTAATTTCTCTTAATACTGTACTTGTATAGCACAATTGTTTTTATTGGTTAAGGGCACCTACCGATATGGCTGCCACCCAGTTTGATTTTATCCCCACCCCTAATCAACCCAACACTGAGTAATTATTGCCACACTGACAGATGCTAAGACAGTATGTTAATATGCTTTTGTGTGGACACTGAGTCACCGCTTTTGCAGCAGGTCTCTACCCATCACAACAGTGTCTCTGCAGTTGTTATGGAGCATGACAGCAGTTTCTGATTATAAATGACACAAAGGGTATGACAACTACAGTCTGTGTTTAAACTGTTGCTGCCCATGAGGAGCCCTCCTAGTTTAAGCTCCCTGCAAGTGGATCGAGGCTGGGTGTGATTGAAATAAGATCTGACACTACATGGCCCAAACAACAAGCTCCATAGCTAATCGTGGATTTTAGACATGTCTGTGTGAACAAATCAGCGCTCAAAGATAAGATTAGGGCATCTATTACTGTTCATTCAGCCAGCAAGAAAACAATGGACAAATCTTTTATAACAATATTGGAGTGAGTTAATTCCAATGAATAATGATTCTGCTGTTTCTCTCAACTGCGTTAACTCTAAAGGTGTCCTGTTAATTTTCCACGCATTGCTCTAAAATGACACAGCTATGACCTGTGCAATACAAGCCCTTAAATGCTTATTTTAGTAGCTAGATATGAATCGACACGCATTCCTCAGATAATTGATTCTGGTATAAAATCTTAATACTGCCAGTTAGTTTACCTTTTAATATCAAGTTGCTGGCTGTCATTTACACAGCATGTAACCTTTGCTCATGTGTCTTTTTTGAGTGCTTTTGGAAATATTATCAGAGAGAATCAAAGAGTTATTTGCATTTGCACAATGTGTTTTCTTTTGTGTGTAATATAGGATGCACATGTTTCAGCAAGGTTGTAAACATTTCATATTTTAAACTCTATACAACTTTATTAAATAAAAAGGAAGAAAAGATGGAATAAAGACAAAACTGATGTACAGAGAGGAATTATCCATTTTCTCCTAAAAAAAAAAAAAAAAAAAGAAAATAGCTTGTGGATCATTAATCATACTGTCCATTTTGTGTTCTAATTATAGAAGTAGCAACAAACAGATCACATTTTCATCACCTCATTGCATAATTTATTTTTTCAGACAGTAGAGATTGTTTTATTTTTCTCAACACAGACTAAATGCTGAATGGTTAGCTGCAACATTTTTCATTAAGGTCCTTCCCATTTCTGTTTCTGTCTTGCCTTGACAATGATGAGTTTCCTTTTAGAAAGGAAAGAAACATTTATATCCCTTTACTTTACAGTTTAGTGGTTGTAATTAATAAATGTTTAATTTAAAAGTAGGTGTTTGGAGGCATTTCAAATCATAGTATTGCCACAACTGTTCTACAAGACTGTTACATGGGAACTGTTTATTTCCAAATAAAATACAATTTTGTATTTTGCTCTGTTCAACAGTTGTCAGTCCTTTTAACAATATTTATAACTGCTGAACATCTTAGAGCTTTTTTCTGAAGGAAGGCGGCTTTTCATTGCAGCCTCACCAGGCATACCACAGTTGTTTACTGCTTCCTAGGTGGTGAACCTATGAATATCCTCTCAAAGCAAGGTTTGAGAGCTTTAGCATCTTATGACCCGTGCTGAGTACTGAGACTGGTTTTGCTTATGCTATATTTGTATACTCTTTGTGTGACTTGTTCAAACTCTTTGTAGGTTTTTTTGGCCCCTTCATCTCTAATGTGTAAAAATATCCCGTTCTAATGAACATTAATATTTACCAACATATTGACACTACATATGATCAGTCCTTAAAGTAATTAGGATTTGAATTATCCATAGAATATTTATTGCTAATTCTTTTTCTTCCAGATTAAACATTATATTTTATTAAAAGTTAACAAAAGAACTGGATGACGAAAAGATTCCACTGTTGCTTAAGTGATACCAGTCCATTGCTAAGAAACTGACTGAAAAACAGAGTGAAAATATGATTAACTGCATTGTGCAATGCACCTTATCACGAGCCTAGTTGTTCAGAAATGTATTAAAATATTCTTGTTACATTAAGCAATCATTATCATACATACAAAGCACACAAAACTTTGATTTTCATAATCAAAACCTCTAAATCTTTAAAGTTGTATGAATAAAGGACATAGCAGAATCTTTAAAAAGACATTTTTTTGAATTAGCTAAATACAAAAGCTTAGCAGTAGCAGTAGCAGTACTTCCAGAAGGATGTAAAGAGTTTCTGTTAAAATAAATAAATAAATAAATAAATAAATAAATAAATAAATAAATAAATAAATAAATAAATAAATAAATAAATAAATAAATAAATAAATGAAGCATTCAGTCACATCACCAAAGAGATTTGGAAAAAAATCTCAATTGCACCTAAAACCACATGTAAAATTAAGATAAATAAAGTAATCCAAAAATAAAAGCACTTCAACAAAACATAAAAATAATAAAAAGAAGCAAACATTTAAAATCATGGAAACTGAAAAAGATAAACATAAAATCTCAAAGCTAAATTGGCCATGACACAATTTTTTTGTCTTATGTTCAATTTAGCTTTTTATGAAACTCAAATCTTTTGCAGAGCATTTTAGAGTTTATTAACTTCATTGTAGATGTGTATCGACATCAAGCCAAAGCTTGAAACCCTCTGGAAAATGTTGATACACTTTTCATTTGGAAAGTTTTCTTTCATGATTCTGAAACCAATTTAGTATGACATATGCATATAGTGAAACTAAGCTAAATAGGTCAGTCTAAAAAGATTTACTATGTTCTAACAGTTTGTTAATGGACATGCAAATACGTATACTTTTCCAGATTAATGTAGGCCAGAATGATTT